CAGGTATAACAACTTCCTGCTGCTGCTGCTGCTGCTGCTGCTGCTGCTGCTGCTGCTGCTGCTGTTCCTGATGCTGCTGCTGCTGCTGCTGTTGCTGCTGCTGCTGCTGCTGTTCCTGCTGCTACTGCTGCTGCTGCTGTTCCTGCTGCTGCTGCTGCTGTTCCTGCTGCTGCTATTCCTGCTGCTACTGCTGCTGCTGCTGCTGCTGCTGCTGCTGCTGGTGTATGCAGGCACCTAAGCCCTCTGTTGCGTCTCGTTAAGGTTCTTTCTCTAGACCCTTCCCTCTACATACCGCCGCTGCTGTCGACGCTGCAGCAGTCTCCTCTGCATTCTCTGCGCTTTGAGGTGGGTACGGGGGCCCCCCCTTTCTATCGAGGGGGCCCCTGTCTCCTGGGGGCCAGGGCCTGGGGGCCCCTACTCTATGAGGGGCCCCCTTGTCTCCTGGGGCCCCCTTCTCTATAGGGGGCCCCTGTCTCCGGGGGCCCCTCTCTCATGGGGCCCCCTTGTCTCCTGGGGCCCCCTTGTCTCCTGGGGCCCCCTTGTATGCTGGGGCCCCCTTGTATGCTGGGGCCCCCTTGTGTCTAGGGGGCCCCCTTGTATGCTGGGGGCCCCTTGTCTCCTGGAGGCCCCTTGTGTGTCTGCTGGTGCAGCAGGCTGGGGTTAGGGTTTCTGTCTCTGTGCGTGGTGGTTGTGATATTACTCAGCTGTCTCTGTCTTGTGTTTTTTGCTTTCTTTTTTTTTTTTGTCTCCTTTTTTTTCGTCCACTTCTTTTTTTGTCTCCTTGTACTTCAATGTTTATAATTTGTGTCTTTGATTTATTCTTTTATTTACTGTCTCTTTTTATTTTTTTTTATTTTTTTTGTTTTTGTTTTTTTTTTTTTGTTGCTGGGGGTTGTGTAGGATGCTGTGGGGCTCTTCTCCGCTCTGGAGGACTGCCGGTGCTGCAGGGGCCTCGAGCCCTCTCTGCAGCGACTTATATCATGGTCAGAGCTGCTGCTGCTGCTGCTGCTGCTGCTGCTGTTGCTGCTGCTGCTGCTGTTGCTGTTGCTGCTGTTGCTGCTCGTGCTGGTGCTGTTGCTACTGCTGCGGTTGCTACTGCTGCTGCTGGTGCAGTTGCTGTTGCTTTCCCTTTTTTGGTGCTGCTGTTATTGTTGCTGTTGCTGCTGCTGCTGCTGCTGCTGTTGCTGCTGCTGCTGCTGCTGCTGCTGNTGCTGCTGCTGCTGCTGCTGCTGCTGGAGAGCAGCAGCGTGTGTATGATGGTGGCGGTGTCTATACACCGCAACCCCTAAACAGAACAAATAAAAGACAGCAGCAACATCTGCTGCTGTGGAGTGTACCTACAGGCTCAGCAGCAGCCTGGCTGCTTCGCCGGTGCTGCCTCGTGCTGCTGCTGCTGCGCTGCTGGGGGGGCTGCGCTGCTGCAGGGGGCTGGGGGTCCGCTCCCCGCAGCTTGCTGCTCTGAGCAGCAGCTTGCTGCAGTCGTGGCAGCAGCAGAAGTATCAGGGGGTATCTGCTGCTGCACCACACCAGCAGCAGCAACAGCAGCAGCAGCAGCAGCAGCAGCAGGAGACGCTTGCTGCAGCAGCAGCGCATGCAGACACGCAGCAGCAGCAGCAAACACTAGAAGGGGGGCTTGACGATGAGACAGAGGTCGCTATCCTCCATTCTCTACTGACAGAGGAGTGCTTCTCTGATACGTACGCAAACCCTAAACCCTAAACCCTAAACCCTAAACCCCAAACCCTAAACCCTAAACCCTAAACCCTAAACCCCAAACCCTAAACCCTAAACCCTATTTATATTGTTTTTTTTGTGTATATTTCTGTTTTTTTTTGTGTGCAGCATCACTTCTTGCTTCTTTCGCTGCGTGCAGCATATAAGAGACAGTAGGCTGGACCTGTCTCCTTTTTTTTTTTAGGGTTTAGGGTTTAGGGTCTAGGGTTTAGGGTTACAGCAACGGGCTGTCTCTTCTTTTGTTTGTTGTTCTGCTGTCTGCTGTCTCTCTTTTTTGTTTTGTCTCTTCTTTTGTCTCTTTTTTGTTTTATCTCTTCTTTTCTCTCTTTCTTTTTTATCGTTTCTTCTGTTTGCTGCTGCTGCTGCTTCTGTCTCTTGTTTGTTGCTGCTGCTGCTGCGTATGTCTCTTCTTTTGTTTGTTGTTGTTGCTGCTGCTGCTTCTGTCTTTTCTGTTGTCTGCTGCTGCTGCTGTTTCTGTCTCTTCTTTTGTTTGCTGCTGCTGCTGCTTCTATCTCTTCTTTTGTATATTGCTGCATCTGTCTCTTTTTCTGTTTCTTTCTGCTTCTGTCTCTTCCTTTGTTTGTAGCTGCTGCTGCTTCTGTTTCTTTTTTTTTTGTTGCTGCACTGTCTCCTCTCTGTGTTTGTGTGTATGTGTGTGTTTTTTTTTTTTTAGGTGTGATGGCGGCTCGTGTGCGTGGGGTGTCTCCGCCTCTGTCTGCTGGGGTGTATAGCCAGCTGTACGAGGCCTTTCTAGCTCTGCAGCAGCTGCGGGCTGTATCTGCTGGGATCGACCCCACACCGATCCCAGCCCCCAGAGACCTCATCGCCTTCTGTCAGAGAGACACACCAAAGGCTTGCTGGTATACTTCGCCCCCTGTCTCCCCATGTGCATGCATGCATGCATGCATGCATGCATGC